GGGACGGCGGGGGAGGGACTAGGCGTTCCGGAAAAGGAAAAGCGGGACGGGCGAGCGGGGCGGGGAAGGCCGGAAGGGATAAAAGCGCAGCCGCCGGCCCCGCGAGCCTCAAGGTCTCGGGATCGCTGCGGGCTCTCACCTTGCAGCTCCAGCCTCTTGCCTGCGCCCCGCGCCCCGCGTCCCGCGTCCGAGCCGACCATGGCCGGGCCCCTGCGCGCCCCGCTGCTCCTGCTGGCCATCCTGGCCGTGGCCCTGGCCGTGAGCCCCGCGGCCGGCGCGAGCCCCGGGAGGTCGCCGCGCCTGTTGGGCGGCCCCATGGACGCCAGCGTGGAGGAGGAGGGCGTGCGGAGCGCGCTGGACTTCGCGGTCAGCGAGTACAACAAGGCCAGCAACGACATGTACCACAGCCGCGCGCTGCAGGTGGTGCGCGCCCGCAAGCAGGTGCGTGCCGCCCCGGGGCCCCGCGCCCCCGCCCCGCGCCGCTCCCCGACCCCGGCGCCGGCGCTGCTCACCCGGCCCCCTTCCGGGCCTTCGCTGTCACCCCGGGGCCCTTGGCGGGCGTGGCCGGGGGTGCCCGACCCGGCCTGGCCTGGAACCGCACCGGCACGCCAGGTCCGCGCCCGGCGCTGAGGTCTGCTTCGCGGGGCAGCACAGAACGGCCCGCCCGGCCCCGCACCGGCCTCCTGGGACTGGGCCGAGGGCGCGCTGCTGAACACGCCGGAGAGGGGAAAACAGCCCATCGTCTGGCTGCCTCCTGGTTCTTTCACCAGATAATTTTTAAGCACTTCCTTTTAACTTTTTATTCTCACTTAATTTCAGGCTTACAGAGGAGCTGCAAAAACAGTGCAGGGCTTCCCTGCAGATCCCTGACCCAGATGCCTCAGACGTTAACAGAAATGTTAGCGTTCTGCTCTGTTCCCCCAGCTCACTCTCTGCGTGTGAATGTGGATGTGTGTATATGTACTGTATATGAATTTTTTGCCTGACTCTTTTGAGAGTAAGCGCTTCGGTGTGTCTTTCCTAAAATTACAAGGGCGATATCTCACATAACCACGATTCCCTTTTGAAAATCAGCACTGACACATTTATAATCTAATTCTCAGACTCATTCAGCTTTCCCTGACTGTCCGCTGACGGCCTTCATGCCCAAGGACGCTCCTCCTCCCTGAGCGCATGAGCCCAGCCAGCCCTGTCCTGTCCCCTCGGCCTCCTTTAACCTGCAGGAGCCTTTGTGTTGTGTCTGTGTCATGACCATGTCATTCCCCAGGGTCCAGTAGATGTGGATGGGGACTGTGCTGACGCTTGGTGCTGCTCAGGATGAGATCCAGGCCATGAGGCTCGTGAGGCTCGTTCTCCTCCCTGAGTCCTCTCCACAGGGGCCACATGGGAGCCTGGCTCCTTTTCCTGCAGAGCCCTGCTTCCCTCCCCAAGTCACACCCTTGGGCACAGCCCCTTAGGGCTATCGGCCTTCATCCTCAAGCTGGCTGACCACCCCCTGCAGCCCAGGGCCGCTGAATTCCTGCTGAGGTGGAGCCCGCCTGATGGTCCTGCCTCTGCCAGCTGACATAGAGTTAGACCTCAGCCAGATGAGGACAGCAGTCACCCAGCACAGCGGAGGAGGGGGTCAGGTCGGGAAGGAGCTTCAGCAGGGTTACTGGGCCCAGCTTGACCTGTGTCCCATAGCAGAGCAGCAAACAGTGACACAAGGACCACAGGGCCCTATGGCCCTCCAGTCTTTAGAGCTCCTCCACCTTCTCTCGGAAATTCAGAGGAGTCAGACCAGCCACTGTCAACTGGGGCCCTCTCCCTGCACAGGAGGGCCACTCCCTGGTGTAGGGTCCCCGCTGGCCTGTACCTCTCTCACTTGGAGTGAAGCTCGGGGCATTGTAGATCGTTGGGTCCTGGAGCCTGTGTTACAGAGGAGCAGACTCACACGGGAGGGATCGCAGGACTTGCACGTGGTCCCACAGGACTTGTGTGTGTTCCACAGGGCAAGGTCTAGCACCCCGGTCCCAGGGTCCCTCATCCCATGCTTCTCCACAGTTCTGACAAGTCATATCTGGGGATGACACCGTGCAGGGAAAGGATCCGTTTTCTTCTGAAGTGGCAGCTGTAAGACATGCAGGTGTGTGACTCACTTTAGAAATACTCCCTCCAGAATCACACCTGGAATGCAGGCATGCTGGAAGCAATGTTTATTGGCCTAAAACATCAACGTATGTAAGCATTTGTTTCCTACTGATAAATTAGGGAAAATACCTCTGAGTTAAGTGGCAGGAGTGAGATGCCATGTGGGCTGAATGCCAGGGACTGGAAGCTTGCTGAAACTTGATCCTCACACGAGAGCCTTCCTAGAATAGACCCAGGGTCCCTGCCCCCTGGGTTATATGTAGCAGAATTCAGTTAATCCTTGGCATTGGCACAGAGAAAACAAGTTACCGGGGAGGCCTGGAGCATGGCATCCCTGCCAGCTGGCAGGAGGAGCTGGCTTGTGTGCCTTGCAAGTGAGTGTGAGCCGCTCATGAAGGTAGGCTTGAAGCCCCAGGCAAGCCCAGTGACCCAGTCACAGTGAAGTGCCTGTGCGTATAAGAAACTGACAGCGTGCTGTCCCCGCATCCTGCTCTTTCACATGTGTAGATCGTAGCCGGGGTGAACTACTTCTTGGACGTGGAGATGGGCCGAACCACATGTACCAAGAACCAGCCCAACTTGGACAACTGTCCCTTCCACGACCAGCCAAATCTGAAGAGGGTATGTGCCTCATGTGGGTTCACGGCCAGTCATACACTGCAGAGGGGGGTGAGAGTGTGTGTGTGTGTGTGTGTGTGTGTGTGTGGGGTGCATGTTCTGGAGGGTATGCGTGCATGTGCCTGAGTGTGTATACGTGTGGAGGTGCATGCGTGTTTCCATGTATAGGTTTGTGTGGGGAGGTGCACATGAGTGTATGCTAGTAGGTGTTTGGATGTGTTGGGGAAGTATGGAGGTTTATGCATGAGTATGAGCGCATATGTGTGTGCACATATGTGTGGGGGGGTGTCACATGGCATATGAGAAAGTACCTGCAACTGTGTGTGTGCATGTGCGTGGATAGATGTGTGAGGAAGTATGTGGGTTCACGCATAGATCCGTGTGGCTGAGGGTTGGTGTGAGTTTAGATGCCTATGTGTGTGCAGATGGAGTGGTGTGGCAAGGGGTGATGAACTGGATTTGCTAAGAAGGCTTTAGCTTGAGAATAGGGGTACTAGGAGCTCCACCCTGTGTGCCTTGGGGTGTTGCCTGCTGGACTATAGGAAGCAGCTGCAGGGCTGGGTGCTGGGCAGGGAGAAGGGGCTCTGTCTAATCCCAGCCTCAGGCATCTGCCTGCAGCCATGGCCACACTGAGCAGATTAGAGGGAACAAGAGGCCTGTTTGCCACCAAACCCTCAGCCCTGCCCCCCTCACCCAACACCAGCCTCTCCAAGGACCCGGGATTTCTTTTGAGGTCTCTGCTCAGGGGAGAGCCACACTGTCCTTGTCATCTCCTTGTCACCTCGGGCACTTAGAGTTATAGTTTTCAGTTCCCTGGGGAAGCCCTTCTTAGTGCTGGCCTGGGTGCTGGAGGTGGAAGGGGCTAGGAGCAGTGAGCCGCTTCCCCCTGCCTGCACCCTTGGGGCTCCTGAGGCCTTGCACAGGCTGCTCCTCACAGGGCCGTGCTTGGGCAGGAATCCTGCAGACCCAAGTGGGGGCCCAGTGGCACCTGGTGGAGTTGGAGACCCAGGAGAGGGATGGAGCAGTCACTGCCCAGTCCCGCGGGGTGCTCTGGGATCAGCAAGTGTTGGTAGAGGGGTGGGTAAGGGCCCAACGTTTCACCTCCATCCTTCCTCATGCCCACTCTGATGTCCTGTGACTGGGCATCTTCCGCTTTGAACTGTAACCCACACTGATTGTCCCTTCTGTTTTCTTTCACAGAAAGCATTCTGCTCTTTCCAGATCTACAGTGTGCCTTGGCAGGGCATAATGACCTTGTCGAAATCCAACTGTCAGAACGCCTAGGGGTCTATACCAGGCTGGCCTGTGCCTGCTACGTGTTACGCACACCTCCACCCCTGTAGTGCTCCCACCCCTGGACTGGTGACCCCCGCCCTGGGGAAGGTCTCCCCATGCTCCTGCACCAGGAGACAGAGAAGGTGGCAGACAGATGCCTTTGTTGCTCGGCAGGGGGTGCTGCCCTCCCCCCTTCCTTCTTGCTTCCCACAGCCCCTGTGTGCCCCGCACACCCCACCCACCCACCTCCTGCAATAAAACAGTAGCATCGCCTCCCTCTGAGTTCTTGGCTGTCTGGGCATGTGCACACAGGCGGGGTTTCCACAAAGCCTCCTGGTTCTGCTGCTGTGCAGATTAGAGGAGCATCTGGGAGCTGACGCGGCCACAGCAAGGCCATCTGAGGAGCTGCTGCCACTTTAGGAGACCTGAGCCTCCGAACAGGGAGAGCAGCCAGGGGCTGAGAACCCAGGCCTTCAGCCGCAGCAGCCCCTGGTGAGGGGTCAGGGAGAGACGGGCGCCCAGGCTGCTGCCCCGGAAGAGCTGGGCTGCTGCTTTGGTCTGAGCTCCTGGTGACACCAGGAGGAGGGGCTGGCTGTGTCCACAGGCAGGGGCCAGGCCTCGGAGGAGCTGGCCAGGCTGTGGATTCCATCTGTGCCTGCAGAGCTGAGCAGACTCCAGGGACTCAGCTTCTCTCCTCCAGTCCCCTAGACACTAAATAGATAGTGATCGATGTCTGCTTCTTTCCACAAGAGAATTTAGGCCCCTACGTGGAAATAAAGTCCAAAAGAATATGTGTGTAACTGATTGCCAGCCAGACCAGAAACGAGCAAGATCACACAGAGAGCAGCACCTGCTGTCATCCATCCTGGGAGGCTGTGTCCTCAGAGCGTTTTCCAGGCTCATAGCCTCCAGCCCTTTCTCTAGACTTGGATTTAAAACAAGGTGTTCTGTCAAGCTTCATGGTGGGGTTGAAGTTAAAGCACAAATGCCACTGACAGTGCAGCGAGCTCTTCTTTTTACCAAGGATTGAGGGAACACCCCCTTTGTGTCAGCGTCATCCTATAGAATAGTGGATCTTTGTGCCACAATCGGGAGGCTACATTCCTAAGACAGCCCACCCTGCACAGTCCTTCCCTTTGCCATTTCAGGACCGAGGTGTAGCCCTCACAGCCAGTGCTGCTAGGGCCGGGCTCCCAGCTTCCAAGTTCAGAGCTGCACTGACCCCCTCTCTTTTGGCCACTGCCGTGAACACTGAAGGTGAAATGACGACGGGGAATCCACCCCAGTAGCCCCAAGGCCAACACTCCACATGCTGTCCCCGAAAAGCCAGAGCAGGGGATACCAGGGAGAGTGGGGAGCATCTGCTTCCATTTCCTCTCCACCCCCGCTTGTTTAAACAGGGTTTTGGGGTGAGGAAAGTGAAGCACTGCCTGGCAGGCCATGAGCTGAGGAGACTTGAGTCTGGGCCTCACCCTGTGGGGTGTCGGTGGGCTTAGTGACTCAGTTTTCTCTTGGGCGTTGGGAGTGAAGAGCCCTGCAGGGAGGTGCTCCTGGCTTTCTACCTGGGTGAAGGATCTCTTGACACAGGCAATCACCATCCAGGCACACGGTGGAAATGATCAGCTGATTTTGTGCAGCCCAGCCCTTTTACTGACACAGTTCTTGGGGAAGTTGAGGTCGGGCAGGGGCTGTGCACAGGGCTCCCAGCTCCCTTTGTGTCTGCTCCCTTTGTGTCTGCTCCCTTCCATGCCCTCCACCCCGTGGCCAGTGGCCCACAGCCCACAGGGAAGCAGGTTGGTGCCACCCTTGCCTCCCCTCCACAGCCGGCAGGCCTGTAAATGCCTCACTTGGGTCCCCATGAAGCCAGTGAGCCAGAAGCCCCTCTGACCCAGAGGCCACTGTGACCAGCATGTCCTGGAGAAAAGGCCTCGCCCCTGCACCTTTCATCTGCAAGGGTTCCTTTTATTTATTTTAAATGTTGATTTAAGTATATACTTCATCTACAGTTATCCACCTAAATAGATTCAGTACAGAGCCTCGCTCTGAATAAACACACAATAAGTTGGAAATGCTTTTTCATTGATCTGGTTCTAACTGGCTTTATAACATGGTGCTTTGAGACCTCTTGCACTGTGATGCTGATGTGCTGATGGCCGCCGGTGCAGGGTCAGGAACGGGCCAGTAGCTTCTGAGCTCCCTAGCATTCTTGCCCTGGAGGAAGCCAGCCTATGCGGAAGGATCCCGCTCCCCGGGACCTTCAGTCTGGCAGGGTGCCCCTTGATGGCAGGCCTGTGCACACCTAAGGCCCAGGGAGCTGACAGGCGGAAGAAAGAGGCTGACAAGTCTAGTTTCTTAGAAAGAAACATGTAATAGGGACTTCGGAACAGAAGCCATGTCCTGCGTAACCACAAGACAGTGGGTCCCCACTTTGTTACCCGCTGGCCCAGGGCTTCTGTGCCATAGGGGAAAGGGTATAGGAGCTTCAGAAGGAATTTGCCTAAGGGCTAGATTTACGGTACACAGCAAATGAATTCGAAATCTTAGAAGCACCGATGGCACTGAGGCTCAGCATTGGCATCCAAGATGGAGTGGCCCTAGCCTCCGCAGGAGACCCCCCGGCGCCACTCCAGCTGACAGCCCACGGCACATTTCCATAGCCATAGACCAATTTCAGGATCTCAGTCCTAAATTTAGCTTGTTCCTTTCCATTTTTAAAATTACTGCATTTTAAATGCAATATTTTTATATCTTTTAAGTAAGAACCATTCTCTTTATTCTTTATTCCCCCCAGATTTTGTTTTCTAAATGTATTTGTTCCTTCAAATGAAACTATTTTTTCAGGTTCCATAAGTAGAAATATTATATTTTGAATCAGGGCTGTGTTACATTTATATTTTAATTTAGGGAAAAAATTGACAACGTTTAGCATTGAGCTTCTCATTTCAGAATACCATGTATCTTGCAATACATTCCCACTTTTCTGGTGGCCTTCAGTAGAGTAAATGTTATGTATCTTTCATATTTTCTGTGAAATTTATTCCTGGATATTTCATAGTTTGGGTCAGGACTATTTCCAAGTATTTTACCTCTAACTAGTCTTTGCTAATAGACACATATTGGTTTTGCCATTTTTTTTAATCTGCCTTTGTGGTTTATTATTTATGAACTTAGAGGCCTGGCTTGTTGCCACCAGGTTGCTGCCAGAGACAGACGGGAGCTGGCTTCTGACTGCTGGCAGGAGTGACCTTGGACTAGGCCATAAGCCTCACTAACAGATGCAGAGAGAGCAGATCACCAGCCCTGTCCCATAACTACAGGGCGAAGCTGGAGAGCGGAGGTCTGGGAAGACGCAGCTCAGTCGCCCCTTCCCTCCCTATGCTCTGCTGTGCTGTCTGAGCTCATTGCTCAAACACACAAAACTGAGAAGCCATGAACAAAATGGTGACTAAAATAGGGAACAGGCACTTCTTTCATTACCCATATCTGCTCTCACCCTTGGCACTGGGATACCAAGTGGGTCGCTTCCAACTCCTGTCACCTGAGGCTTATGGGGTCGAGTCAGATGTGCTCAGGCCACTGTGACATCAGCTGAGGCTCTGGCTCCCTTGAGACCAGGTCAGGCTCAAGCCTGGCTGTTGACGGCATTCACCGGGGAGCCTGGTGCACGTGGCAATCCCGTGGTCTCACCCCGAAAAGTTGATTATGTTCTGGGATGAGACCTGGACATTGGATGCTTAAATACTCCCCCCATTGCTTCCCCAAGGAACTGCTGACCTGTAACTCAATTAGAGTCCCCATCAAAGTCCAGTTGCTCCAAAAACATCTGCAAATTGCATCAAGTGAAGATGTTCTCAAGGTCACATCTGCCGTGGACACACTTTCCATGCAAGGTGTCTCTGCAAATGTGTAGACCAGCCCCCTTGAGTTCCAGTATATAAAACACAACAAAGCAAAAGCAAATGGAAATTCTTTCCACCAGAGCTTGTTTGGAGCAATGAAATTTGTTGGTGATTTCAGGAAATCACCTCCTGCTCTGTGGAACAGTAACCCCCCACTTCTTCAAACCCAACCCTGGGTATTTCTGTCCCTGAAATGCCCTTGGCTTCCCTCCCAAAGGGAGTTGCCACTTGACCTTCACATTCCATGCCCCCACCAGTCACTGGCCTGATTGTTCCACTGCCTGCCCAGGGCCGTGGGATTTCCCATCTGTCCACGCCATCCCCTCCACTGGGTCCTTCAGCATGTCCACAGCCTCCTTTCTGGGGTAGGACAATCTGGCTCTTTGTAGACTTCCCCACACCCATCAAGGTGCTCATAAACCAAAGGCCTTCCTAGTGAACAGTACCACCTTCTTTGTGAGGGACTTTAGATCACGAATAGCAACAGTTATTTATTTATCTATTTATTTTACCCAAATCCAGGACCCTGAGGAACACACTGAGGAAAATGCTGCCTTTCCTGAATGGCCACCAGGCAGGGAACGATGCTGGGAAGTGTTTACCGCACAGGCTCTGTGCTTATGCCACTGGTCATCTCCTGCTGTGTGCATGGAGGCATCATTACGTCCGACTCACAAGCCCCGGCTGCCCCACCTTCTTACAACAACAATAACAGTTTCCGCACGGGGATTCACACCTCCTCCCCTCTCTGCCTGTTTTCAGGGAAGCTGACTGCACCCTTTGAACTGCAGCTTGAAGCACCTGACCCTGGCTAAGCTGGTCAGGGCAGCCGTCTCCCTCCCCCGAAGCTTCAGTGATTGACATGAGGACAACACATGACCTGTGTGTGGCCGCCTGCACCCAGGAGGCTTAACAGTGGGATTTTGTTTGACTGTGTGGTAAGTGGGCCCCTCCCTCCCCGCTGTGTGTGAAGATGAAAAAGACATGAGGTCTGGGGCCCACCTGGAACCTGTTGAGGGCGAAGCCAAGTTATGGGGGGCATCAAAACTGAATCAAGAGACAGCAAGGAAGCCAGGCCTGGTGCACTTCCAGGTAGGCTGGAGGCTGAGACGGGAGGATCGCCTGAGCTCAGCAGTTTGAGGCTGCAATGAGCCATTATTTCACTTCTGAACTCCAGCCTGGGCAAAAGAGTGAGACCCTGTTTCTCAGAAAAAGAGACAGACAGACAGACAGCAATGAGCAGGTGGGTTATAACGTTGGAGTCCCTGCACCAAGCAGAACCTGAAGCCCACCCTTGCTCTGAACTTAGTTATGTGAACCAACCACCAGGCTAATTGAGTTGGGTTTTCCAGCACTGTGCTCCTGTCTGTCCTC